TCACTTGGAAGAAAATTATAATAAATCGAAAGATTATTAAGACTTAACACCCTGTAGCTACGAACAGGGCCGGCGGAAGGAAAATATTCAGACCGGGCGAGTACCCTATCTGGCGCCCCCCCCCTCCTTAACAGTTATTATATCTCTCGTTTTCCTTCAGTCCTATACTTTAACTATACAAACTAAGCATATTTATGCTACTTTAACAACAAATTTTCACTTAAAGATACTTCAAAATTCTTCTCTTCGTTCAATCATCTTAGTCTCAGACTCACTCCTATAAATTTTTTATTTTTTTAGATAAAAAAAACGAGTTTTGGTATGTTAGTATATGACATATATTAGGTTTGATTCAATGGTATTCAATGGTTTTTAGCACAGATAACACATAATCCAGATGGCCATTGCTTACGGAACAGCATGTTTTCGATGAGACAGTTCCCTATTAATGACACAGAGGGCGCCTATAGCCAAATCTAATAATATTTTTAAAACGAACGAATTTCGAGCCACACCACGGCCACGCGATGTGAAGCGACGTAGCCGGTTGTTCATATTTATAAGCAAATTCCCGGTCAAACCCAGGGAAAATGTATATTCGGACTTTAATACTATACAATTGGATATGAAAATACTAGTCGCAGTGGATGTTTGAAAGTCAGAATTTCTAGATGAATATATGCTATTATAGCCATGAAATTTATAATTTAGATTTTATTTTTATTATTTGTCTCTTAATATTCATTAGCTGAAAATAAGGGTAAAGGTTATCTATATAGTAATAAATAAAATTTGGCACATAGGTTCCTTAAGTGATGTAAATGAGCACTAAGAAGGGATTTTTTGAAAATTCGACCGCTAAGGGGGTGAAATTAGGGATGAAAAGCTGCATAAAAATTTGTTAAAATCTGGTTTAAGAGTATGAAATTTTTCACGAGTGCTCCTTGACTGACGTAATTGAACACTAAGGGGCAATTTTTGGAAATTCGCTCGTTAAGGGGGTGATATGGGGGGTACTTTTGTATACAAAAAAAAGCATGTCCTAGGACTACGAAATTTTGCACAGAGGTGCCTTAAGTAGCGTAACTTAACAGTTCGATTATACAAAGCGATTTTAGGAAATTCTTCTACTAAGGGGTGAAACTGGGGGTGAAATTTTGTATACTTTTTTAAAATTAGTCCGAGGAGTTTGAAATTTGGAAATTGTTAATTAAGCGACGAAAGTGAGTACTCAGAAACGAATTTTGGACATTCATCCCCTAAGAAATAAGGGATGAAAATTGGTATAAAAATTTGTCAAAATCGGTTTTAGAAGTATGAAATTCTGCGTAGACGTTCCTTATGTAACTTAATTTAGCACTAAGAGGCAATTTTAGGAAATTTTCCCTCTAAGGGGGTGAAATGAGGGGTGAACTTTCTGAAAAAAAATCTGTCCTAGAAGTATGAAAATTTGCACAGAGGTTCCTCAAGTGATGAAAGTGAGTACTCAGAAGCGAATTTTAGGCATTCGCCCCATAAGAATTAAGGGATGAAAATTGTACAAAAATTCATTAAAATCGGTTTTGGAAGTATGAAATTTTGCGCAGACGTTCCTTATGTAACGTAATTTAGCACTCAGGAACAATTTTTGGAAATTCGCCCTCTAACGGGGTGAAATGAGGTGTGGACGTTCTGAAAAAAAATTGCTTGTTATTACTAAATTACGTTACATAAGGAACAAACAGAATTTCATACTTCTAAACCCGATTTTAACAAATGTTTGTACAAATTTTCATCCCTTATTTCACTCTCTTAAGAGATGAATGTCCAAAATCCACCTGTACAAAATTCCACACTCGTAGGACTGTTAGTTTTAACTAACAATTTATTAAAGTGCAACTATATAAAAATTATACAGGGTGGCGCCTCTCATATGACTCGGAGGCTCCAAGGAGAACGACCAATTCGTATTGAAATGAAATTTTGTGATCATATGTAAGTTAATTCTGCGTACGTTTTAAAAATATAGAGAGTTCTACAGGGTGTCCCCAAAAAAAGTTACACATCAAATTTGTATTTTTTTGTAAGGGAATACCCCCTTTATTAATTAATTTTTAGATTCTAAGAGAAAAATAAAGGTGTGTTTTATTAGGGAAGTATATGACTGAAATGTAAGGTTTTAGACTTACTTAAGATTTTGAAGAACAATTTTTAAATTTCAAGAAAAACTACCTAAATTGGAATTTACTCTATTGCACTTTAAATCAAATTAAAACCTGACCCATAAAGTTATACAGGGTGGGGCAAAATTAATGTTGAACATTGGTATAACCTGTATAACTCCTTTAATACCCACCCTGTATAAATCCTTTAGTTTAATTGAATCACCCAGAATATTATTCCGATATTCAATGGGAAATTCATGTCACTTCCAAATACTATTAAGGTTGCCGGCCTACCCCTCAAACAAAGATTTTCCTAGATATTTTCATTTCTATGATTTAGTGTGAATAGATCTTTATTATTTGATAAAATCTAGGGTGGCTGTGATATGTCTGACGTTACTTCAACATAGCTGTCAAATTAGTTCAACTTTAGCAACTAGTTATTATTTTGTGTCAGTTCGTCAGTTGAAACAAAAAAAAAATCTAAGAAATTTTCCGAAAATAGAAACTTATCCTACATCAGAAAGAATTGATATGATTCTACTTTTAGATTCAAATTTTTGTTATATAATTATACATTTATATCTAATTTTAATTCTGTGATAATTAATATATGTTTTAAACGTATGTTTTTATTACAGTATTTTATACTACATCCTTTAATTTTTGATAAATTAACACAGCCACCTAGATTTTTTCAAATAATAAAGATCTACTGACGCAAAATCATAAAATGAAAGTATCTAGGAAAATCTTTGTTAGAGGGGTAGGCAACCTTAATAATATTTTGAAGATATATGAATTCCCCATTGAACACGGAAATAATATACTGGGTGTTCCATTTAAAATAAAGGAATAACTTGCTTTTCAAAGTGATAAATGTTCAATATAAGTTTTGTCCCACCCTGTATAACTTTTCCTGTCACATTTTAATTTGGTTTAACATATTATGGTTATTGTAACTAAATATCAGGCTATACAGGATAAATTACAATATAGATAGCTGTTATTGAAATTTAAATTTTATTCTTCATTTTCACAAAATGTGAAATATGTCAAAATCCTTACATTCTAGGCACATGCTTCTTTAATAAAAACACACCTTTATTTTTTCCTGGAATCCAAAAATCAATTAATATATAGGGTATTCCATTACAAAAACAACTTTAATGTATAACTTTTTGGGGGACACCCTGTATAACTATATATTTTTATAAAATGCTTTCAATTAATCTATATATGCTTCATTTCCAAGCCCACTCCCACGCCGTTTTTTTTTTTCGATATGGTATATTCAATAATTGCATTACTTATAATTTATAACAGTTTATGTTCACTGATTCATTTATAATTTATATCCACTTAATTACTTGATTTATCCATCATAAACTTTGCATAGATAAAGAAATAACGATGGACAATTCTTAATGTGTTAAATTATACCGTATGATCCAAAAAAAAAGGCGTCCGATTGGCTTTGGAAATGATGGTCGATGACATTCCCCATATAATTTTACATATCAAATGACAGCGATCTTCATTTCATAGCCATCGCTGACGCCGTTTTTTTTCGATCATACGGTATATGGTAAAAGCCATCGATCACCATTTCTAAGGTAACTTAACGCCGTATTTTTACATACAAAATGTGCAAAAAATTCTATATGAATGAACTCACCACAATTTTCTATCCACTTTGTACATAAATTAGGATCTCTTGACGCAGGAAACTTAAACATATGTACACCTGATTTCCGAGAAATCCCACAATTATAAAATTGGCACTTATTACCAGACATTTTAATAATAATTTTATTATCACTAATCACACACAGTTATAATCAAAGACAGTCAAAGGTAAATTACCCGCCTTTTAAAATATCCGTTAAAAACAAAAGACAGTAACGACATATCTAAATCTTCTATCTTTGTCGCATATGGTTCGTTCCTTTATTATTCCGTGATAAGGGAAGGAATAGAGATTTTCTATGATAAGTGGTAAAGCTAGGTTTTCATATGTACAAATTTGAAAAACTTTCCAGGAAATTCGGTCATATTATTTTCATTAATAAATTGTTTATCATAAATAAATTTATTAAAAAAAAAAAATTTTGAACGAATATTCAAATTCTAAACGTTTCAATTAACAAAAAAATTGGCCAAGTGCGAGTCGGACTCGCGCACGAAGGGTTCATTATCATTGAATTTACCATTCACACATTATCTATACAACATCAGACATTATATTATTGTAAACTTTTTTTCCGATTTAGCTGAAATTTTGAATGCGCTTGTAAGTAATTTAAAAAAATGAAGAAATACATTGCTAAAAATTGTATTAATCAATAATAAATAAGTAAAAATAAATATGTAAAAATAAAAAAAAAGATTAAGAAAAAGTCACCTTGCCTACGATTCGAACCTGCCTCACTACGTCTCAACGCCTTCAAATCCTAACGCCTTTAACCACACGGCCACTCGAGGACTTGAATATTCTGTGTAAAATTCTTACTTAAACGATAATGTTTAGTGAAAGTACTTTTTTATTTATAAACATTTATTTAATTCTGTTTTGTATTTGTTCTTATAGCGGCAACATAGATACATTATCTGTAAAATTTTCAACTGTCTAGCTATAAAGTTAGTTAATAAGAATTAATAGGTGTAGCATATTTCAACATTATTCACTGGTTTTAAAAAGATCAAAAAATATGCATGTGTGTTTATAGTATAAATGAATTGCTCCTTACGTTAGTTCTTATTGATATAATAGCAAAAAAGTATAAAGTATAAGCGCAATTTTATTAAAAATATGTTATTCTAAGTTAGAATAACATAGAGTTAAAAATATGTGTTACAATTTCTAACACATATATTTTTTTAACTCTAATGTTCTAAATTAATTGTTCAAAATATAATTGTTATTTTTTTCCTAGGAAAGATAAAACTTCATTAATTTTCATAAATAAATTTATTTCTATTAAATTTTATAGAGCAATATGTACTACAGTTTTATTTCACATTTTGTAATACTGCTTCGGTGCGGTGCCCCATTGCTATCTGTGAGTTCATTCAAATTATGAAAAATCACTACTGATCTAGAAGATAAAATGTACCTAAGTACCATAATATTATAATCAAAAATGACTAATTTTGTAAATTATTACCTATAATGGTTAGATGAGATGCATGTAAACTTCTTTAGGCTGGTTTCTTAAAGTTAGGTGATTAATTATCTTCGCATCGTCATAGGCTCTAATCAATTGTAGATTATTCTTCAATCAACCTGAAATATGTAATATTATTTACTTTATATCTATGAAAAATTATCATTTTCTTTATGAAAATTTTGAGTTTAAATTTAAATCTGATTAGAATAAATATACGTCACTAATTAACATTTTATCACAGGTAATATTCTATATTATTTTATGTTTACTTTTGTGAAAATATTACTTACCTATAATATTTAAACGAGTTCCTGAATGTACAATTTTACTTGTTTATCGCGATGCCGAGTTCTGAATCTTGTATTGGTTGTCTAAAACTGTTTGATTTTGCTTAGTTATATTGTATCCTATATTTTATTAAACAAACTCAAAATAATGTTTATAATTACCTTCATCAGCCTTTATACCATTAAAAGTCATTATTATCAGTTATTATTATGTAGTATGTAGTTATTTCTTTGAGTTATTTGTTGTTGTTTGTTTTCAAAGATCATTTTTGAGGTTAATATCATATGAAACTTTTCGTAATTAGGCAACTGGTAAATGACGTGTGACGATAAATTAATAAAATAATAATGTACGTATTAAGTTAAATATTTATATATTAATTTAACATCCGGTATTACCTAACATCCATATCTATTTCATGTTTATAAATTACATAATTTTTAATTTTATATATTCATAATGAAATGAAATATATTTCGATATAACGTTTGGCAACCACGCAACTGAAGTGCAAGCGACATCTGTGCAAGAGAAGCAAAACCTCCCAAAAAAGTTAGAAAAGGAATCTAAAAATTTCAGATTATTCAAACGTCACTCCAATATTTTTCCAAATTGGAGTGAAATTGGGGTGACAATTTTTAACACGTAAGGAGCCATCTGGATTATGTGTTATCTGTGTTTTTAGTCACTTCCTGTTTGACTGGAAATGACTAAAATTTTTGATTTTTAAACGCACCCTCGGTATATTTCTACTTTATTCCAAAAGAAAATGACATTCTGAATAGAATGGCATAGCATATGTCAACTTTTGACATTTTCGCTTAAAAAAATCAGTAGTGCCAGGGCTGTGTTAAAAATAAACAAATTATAGGGGGAGAAACTTCTGAGACGCACTCGGTATATAGAGCATAAGAAATAGAATTCCAACGGCAGTCTCGTTCTGGTATAAGTGATCTTTGAAAACATAACAGTATTTAATTGCAAAGCAGTTGCATTATTTTTTATTATATTTTATTATTAAGAATTTAAGAAAATTTTCCTTTCTTTTTCACAAACAATTACATATTTAGTGCAGAATCAGTATTATGATCAGACAGTTTTGTCGGCTGCAAAATGAGGATCATTGGCTGATCCTGATGATGCATTTCTTTGTGAGAAATTTTTCTTTGCTACAATTTTCAGTGTATTACTACATATTCAATCCGGAACAATCAAAACCCCCAAAAGATTAATATCTTTCCCACTACTATTAATAAATTAATTTAATTAATGAGGCAAACTTATAAGTTTTTTTTTGATAATAATGATATCGGGATCCTCTTCAGCTTCTTGCGAATGAATATTTGCCGCATATAACTTTAGGGCATATCAGCCATTAATAACAAATAAAGGGTGTGTATAGTAGAAAAAGTGCAATTTTGAGCGGTCAGTCTAAAACTGTTAATTTTGCTAGCTCTTGACCCAAAACAGTTTGTTTAGAAATTTATAAAAACGAGAATTATAGAAAGAAGGATTATTTACAAAAAGTTGCTAGCTTTTGAGTTATAAAAATGCCACGAACAAATCCGATTTATATTTTTTTATTTAATTTTGTTTAATATTCTTCCACGAAAATGAATTCGCAAATCCCAGTTTTGGATAGAGCACTCAAAAAACATATAGAATAGAAGAAATCAAAACTATCCCAAAGCTTTCGTGCTAAGGATTTTTTTGAGCATAATTTCAGTAAACTATAATACGATACATCTAGGATACAGTATAGTGTTTATAATGTTTAGTCAGATATTCTTCCCTATGTAGTGTGGTAATAGCTAATGTGTTAATGTGGAAATTGGTGGACAGTACCGATTAATTATTGAACTGGATATTCGTTACTATTTGTTTAGATTACTGTTTTGAAATATTTTAGTTGCTGTTGTGGCGCTCCTATAGTTACCGGCGCCGCGGGCGGCCGCCCGGGTCGCCCGTCCCTTCCGCCGCCCCTGGCTACGAAACAAAGCAGAATCGGACCTATGTTGATATGAAAAATAAGTCTTATTTTTACGTGAGGAATCTCCCCACGAGAGATGGCACATGTTTTTTGAAACACACTGTATAGGTTTATGGAATTGAAAACATCAAATATTTTGAAAGAACCTACATTGGTTTTTATAAACATAAAATTCGAATAAAATTTTCAGGCGTAGTTTCCGTTAGTTATAATAATAACTAAAATCTAAATATCTAATAGCGTGGTTCAGTATAATACAGCTTTATAAAGGTGCGTATTCATTATCCGAACGAACGAACGAATGTTCGCTAGTGGTATGGACGAGAACCGTACGATAGAACCGCACGAGAAGACCGGACCATAGACCGGACGCATTTCTTGGCGAACGCCTTTGATGTACCGACTCGAAACGGATGGTCGAGCGAACGAACGAACGAACGGCCGCATGCGTTTGGTCCCCGTCTAAATATACCGCACTTTCATTCGTTCGTTCGTTCGTTCGTTCGTTCGTTCGTTCGGATAATGAATACGCACCTTAACAGTTCTGCTGCACGATAGATAGCTATACAAAAATAAAAAAAATAGTGTGCCACGCCAATTTTTGGTAGTTATGTTTTTATACATACTTACTGTCCAATTTTTATTTAAAAAAAATATTATAATGCTTTAAAAGTTATTTATTTACCATCCTAACCAGAATAAGAAATAAAGTACTATTTAATTTTTAAAAAATATCTATACCATTGTGGCGGACCTCTTTAAAAAAAATCCTATTGGTGTTTCGCCACTTGTACTTGCACAAAATAAAGACAATCATATAATTTAAAAGAAAATATCTTTGCCTTCAAGTTATATTAATTAAATAATAATAGTAATATTGCTTTAGCTAGAAGAAATACCTTCTCTATTTTTTCATTAATTATGGGGTATTTTAAAAGCAAAATAAAGAAAACTTAATGAAAAAAGTATTATAATGTGCGTCTAAAGGCCTTAAACTAAATCTCAACTAAAACTTAATTAGTTTTAACAGGTTTAGCAAATTATAATTTGAGGTTAATGGTAATTCTCATTTAAGAGAACAACTTTTTATATTTTATAACTTGAGAAGAATTGTTATCTTAAAATTAGCTTAAGCGTAAAAATGGCTCTTAAATGACAATTTTTTTACTTAAAAATGTGTATAACACATTTTTAAGTAAAAAAATGTATGAAGGTTGTTTTCTATTAGTTTTTCCAGATATGCCGTCGGTTCTATTCTGAAAAAGAGTAATAAAAAACGTAAGTCTAAACGTAAAATAGTGTAATCTAAACGAAGTTAAATAAATTACGTTTTCTCTACAAGTTAGGTACTACATAAATAAAAATATCTCAAAGTATTGTAATAATTTGATAATTCTTGATATTCTTATTTTCTTTATATTCAAAAATATATGTGTTTTATTACATGAAAGGTTTAATGTTGTTAAATTGAAGGAGAAATTTTATCTAAAAAATCATTAGCAATATATTGTGTTAAGCCTGTTTAGATTCATATTTAAACAAGCCAACATATTTTGATATTTTAAACAAGTGCGCGGTTGTCATATCACAAAATTTATATTAAACTGAGAAAAAAAGGTACACATTAAAAATATACATTTTTAAGATAAAAAATATGTTTTTCTGAAAAAAATAAGTTAGTGCTATGGCTCTGTGGCATACTCCACGAGCAGCCAATGACAAAGGGCAGTACTGTTTCTAGATAGAAGTTTTTCGGGCTGACGATGCCACAGTTGACCGAAGAGTAATGTTTATGTAGTAATAAAAATATTATAGGTAATTCAAAAAATATGTTATGGCCAAATAGTGAAAAATTGGAAAATGTTGGATAACCCTGTGTAATATTATCCAAAAAGGACTCCGCATCACTGAGAGATGGTGCAGGACTGTCGGACTGAGCATCAGCTGAGCAGCAACTGAGCACCAGAAAGCAAATTCTGAAAAACTTGGAAAGAATCCACCTAGATGCCAAAGAAATACTGCCTTCACAGGAAAAAAAACTAAACTTCTGTGGAACAGGCACATTAAGAACATTACCTGCAAAGCCACAAATGCTCTCATGATATGCAAAAGACTGGCCGGAAATAGATGGGGCTGCGCCCTAACATTTTGCGCTGAGTGTATACCATGATAGTAGCTTAGTTACTTATGGATTAGCTGCTTGGTACACAAAACTAGAGCAACGTACAGCAAGGCTAAACCTGTGCAAAGTCCAGAGACTGGCATGCAGGAGCCATGAGAACCTGTCCAACAGCACCAATGGAGGTCATTCTAGATCTAACACCACTGCACATTGCCATTGGTAGATATGTCAATGCAAAACAGTGGATGCAATCGGCAGACCTGTCGCTGGCGGAACATAAGACTGAAGCACTCCTAGTGAATAGCCGGAAGAAAATGGAGACCATCACCATCAGAGTAGGCGACCATGAAATCCAGTCGCAACCCCATATCCGGTACCTTGGCGTGGTCTTGGATGAGAGGCTCAACTACAAGGAGCATATCTCCAGCGTCAGTGAGAAGGCGGGAGCAGTTCAGGGCGCATTCTCATGGATAATGCCCAATATCGGAGGCCCCAGGCAAACCCGGAGACGATTACTTGCAACAGTAGTTACCTCCGTCCTGCTATACGGAGCACCGGTGTGGTCAGAATCGCTGGAACTAAAAACATATCGCAGGACAATGACATCAGTCCACCGACTCTCAGCGATCAGAGTGGCGTCAGCATACCGGACTGGATAATAGGATACAGTGAGTGTAGTGGCAACATGCTTGCCTATCGACATCTTGGCGGGAGAACGCCAGCGACAACACCGCAAGAAGAAAGTCGAGCAGCGACAGGTCTTCTGTGAAGAAGAGAGGACTGAAAGTCATCGTCTCTGGCAAGTGAGATGGGACAGCTCGACGAAAGGTCGGTGGACACATCGACTAATCCCGGATGTCACCAAATGGATCACCCGTGTGCACGGGGAGGTTGGAATCTACATCACCCAACTCTTGACTGGGTATGGACGCTTTCGAGCATACTTGCACAGATTCAAGAGAAGTGACTCCCCGAACTGTCACCATTGCCGCGTGGTGACCGAAGATGCGGAGCACGTGTTCTTCCGATGCCCTCTATACGAGGAGATAAGGACGGAACTCGAGAGAAATCTAGGCTTGTCCATCAGCCCAGAAAATATAGTAGACTGCATGCTGAAGAGTCAATCGGCATGGAACAAGGTAGCGGAGTATGCTAAGACCGTACTCAAGGATCTTCGCACCACCTGCGAAGAATAGACAGCAGTAACACCAAATAAGAACGCCCCGGCGAGTAGTATTTACAAAAAGTGCCGCCTGGGAAAAAAACGTTCCTGGAGAGAGGACAGAGGTGTAGCTTAGGTTTTAGTGAGGTAAAAATTCCACATAACTCGTCTGGCACATAGTAGGTTTTCCCAGGCGAGTACCTGTTGCAGGTTTCCCGCTTCACCTCTTTCATCGAGTAGGTAGGAAATTGTTGGATCATGGGCTTGGTACATCCTGGAAAAGGAAATACCACTTCTCCAAACTTTATTTGATAAGAACTATATTCTAATTGAACTCTACATTCTACTTTTCAACTAATTGTACTCAATATTAAGTCGTTAATTTACAACTCAAAAAG